TTGGGGGAGGCTTTGGAGGGGGGGCTTTGGAGTAAGGGGGGTTTGGGGTTGAGGGGGAAGAGGGCTTGGGGTGTGTTTGGGGTGGAGTTGGGTTGGGGGAGGGGGTTGGGAACGGGGTGGGGATGGGTTTGAGGTGTTGGTGCCATAATGTGATGCTGGAATGGGCTTCTTGCAGCACGTTGGGCACGGAGCTGGAAAAGCACCGCCAGGAATCGGATCTGCGGGGCCGGCAGTTGGAGGAGCTGCAGGAGGCAAGCAGGGAGCTGTCAGCACGGCTGGAGGCTGCTGAGGTGGGGAACAGAATCATGCAGAATGGCTGTGGTTGGAAGGGAGCTCAAGGATCATGGAGCTCCAACCCCCCACCACAGGCAGGGCTGCCAACCTCCACATTTAACACCAAACCCAAGGCCCCATCCAGCCTGGCCTTGAACACCTCCAGGGATGGACGGGGCATCCACAGCCTCTCTGGGTAGCTGTTCCAGCACCTCACCACTCTCATAGCAAAGAACTTCCCCCAGACATTCAACCTAAGTCTTCCCTCCTTCATCTTCAATCCGTTTCCCCTTGTCCTGCTGTTATCTGTCTTTCCAAAGAGTTGACTCCCCTGCTGTTTATAGGCTCCCTATAGGTACTGAGTTCACCCCACAACCTTCTTTTTTTCAGGCTAAACGAGCCCAGCTCCCTCAGCCTGTCTTTGCAGAGGTGCTCAGCACTCTGATCATTTTCTTACCTTCCTCTGAACCTTCTCCAACAGTTCCACATCCTCTTTGTGTTGGGATGCAGAAGGACAAAGTAAAGAGGGCCGTCCCCCTCCCTGTCCCACTGCCACCCCTCCTCTGATGGAGCTGCAGGAGCAGCCTCCTAGCCTCAACCACCTCCCGCCCAAATCGTTCCATGCTGGGCTCAGCCCTTCCTCACTCATCCCACCTCCTCCTCAGCCCTCTGATCATTTTCTGACCCTCCTCCTGATCTTCTCCAACAGCTCCAAGCTGTTGGGACGCAGAACTCAAGAAGGTTCCTCACAAGAGCAAAATAAAGAGGGCCGATCCCCTCCCTATCCCTACTGCCCACCCTCTTCTGATGGAGCCCCTTTCTAAGCTGCAGAAGCAGCCTCACAACCTCAACCAGCTCCCACCCAAACCCTTCCATGCCAGGTTCAGCCCTTCCCCACCCATCCCACCTCCTCCCCTCCCCTCCTGCAGGTCGAACCGCTCCCCCAGCCTGGCTGTGGCTCTGGGCAGCCTGCTGGTCGGTGACCCTGCGCACAGTGGGGGGGTTGAAACCAGGTGATCATCGTGGTCCTCTTCAACCCAAATCATTCTACCATAGGATTCTCCCCTTCCCCCCAGGCTCAGCTCCACCAGACCAAGGCTGCGTTGGCTCAGAGCGACTCGGAGGTGGCGGAGCTGCGGCTGAGGGCTGAGTCTCAGGCGAGGCGGCTGCGTGAGCAGGAGGAGCTGTACGAGGCAGAGGTGGCAGAGCTGAGAGCCCAAAACCAAACCCAGTCGCAGCGCCTGCATGAGAAGGAGGAGCAGCAGCACGTGCTGGAGATGGAGCGGCGCCGCCTGCACAACCTGGTGCAGGAGCTCAAGGTGTCGGCACAGGGAAAACGGATTTTGTGCTGAAAAAAAAACCCAAATCTTGCAGTTTTGATGGCTCTTTTCCCTCACCCAGGGGAACATCCGCGTGTTTTGCCGCGTGAGGCCTCTGCTGGCTGCTGAGAAGGAGACACAGAAGGGCATGGAGCACCTCCACTTCCCCCCGCAGGACAACAAGACGCTGGTGCTGCTCCGGGAGGAGGAGGTGAACAATTTGGGGTGGATTCCTCCATTTTCAGAGCCAGAATTCCCTCTTTTCTGTCCCCATAACGACCCCATTTCCCCCCCCAGTCCCACATCGGCCGTGAGCGCAAAGACGACCTCAAATACGACTTCAGCTTCGACCGCGTCTTCCAGCCCAGCGCCTCCCAGGAGGAGGTCTTTGAGGAGATCTCACTGCTGGTGCAGGTGATGGCAGTGCCCCAAATTCCCCCTTTCTGCCCCCCAAACACTCCTTTTTACCCCCTTTTTGCCTCCTTTCTGTTCCCAAACACTCCTTTTGACCCCCCAAGCCCCTCTTTTTACTCTCCATTTCCCCCTTCCTGCTCCCAAAT